ACACACCGTTGAGTCACTCAGAGTCATGCCAGAGTCATGTCGTTGTAACTAACACATATTTATTTTCACTAACACATCCAAACCGACTCGCGAGTCAGACGCACCGTGCATGCCGCCTATAAAAGCTGACATCTGAAAAAAAAAACGGTTATAATATAATCGAAAAAATATAATAATTTTTTACGGTTAAATTATGATATTTATTATAAAGTCCCCGTTTTAAAATGCGAACAACGCGAACACCTTTGATTTCATTAAAATTTTTCACCAAGCCGAGTCTTGTACTAAAACGTACAGAAATCGACTTGATTGTAAAACAAGAAAAGAAGTAAAAGTTCGGGCGAAACCGAACTTTATATACCCGGCGCAGGTATCAAATATCGTCGTTTCCACTTTCTCTAAATTGCCTTTGCATGATAAGCAGGGGTGTTTTTCCCCATTTCAAACGTTTTCGATAATATGCTGAGTTAGACTTAATGCTATAATTAAACCAAGTTTGGTAGAAATCGTTAAAGTGCTTACCGAGATATACCTTTGTAGTCATAAAGTGGGCGGTGCCACGCTCAATTCCTAAAAGTCTATATTTATTGTTAAGATATTGTTGTAACTATTAGCATGGAGTAAATTAGCACAGTCAGTTATGATATATAGAACTTCTCGTATATCTGAAATTTACCGTTATACGGAAAGCGGGTGTAATTTTAGCCCGATTTGAATAATTTTCAACGAATAGCTTTACCGGTTGGGAGAAATTGATAAATCGGTTGCCGAGATACACATTTGTGGTGAAAAGGGGGCGGCGCCACGCCCTTGATCCAAAAAAGGTTTAATAATCTACTTTTCTGATAAGTGCTTATTGTAATCGTCGATTTAAGTGAATTAGCTTCTGTAGTTACTATTTTATCGCAATTTTCATGTTTCTGTAAATTACCGTTATATGGGAGGTGGGCGTGGTTATTGCCCGATTGCAAAGATTTTCAACAGATTTCTTAGCTAGATCCTTAGCAAGGCTCGTACCGAGGTTGGTAAGGATTGGCGGAGCGGCTACTGATATACCGCCCACTTTCGAAAAATTTCATAATAATATTATTGTTACCGAAATTCTACTTTACGTACTAACGTACTTCCAACGATTTAGATCCCATGTTTACTGAGATATCGTAGTTCTTTAATTTTTCGGAAATACCGTTATATGGGAAGTCGGCGTGGTTACAGTCCGATTTCATCCATTTTCAATACCAATCTACCTTGGATAAAAGGCAACCTACATACCATTAATATTTCGTTGAGATATCTCAATTTTTGCTCGAGTTATCGTGTACAGAAACGGACGGACGTATATGTATGCATTTGTCTATATCTATTTCGATTCGTTTTGGCTGTTACAAACAAACGTTATGTGAACGAAGTTATAATACCCTTTTGCAAAAGTGTTCTCGGTTATAAACAATGTATTATGGTCGTAGCAAAAATACATAAAATAGCCGACTTAAGTTCCTTATACATATTTTTACTGTTTCTTATCCCATTTGTCAAAATAAGGTAGCATTGGTAAAAGAGATGGGCGCGGACACAAAATTTTTAGGTCCCGAACCCGCCTATCCCGACGCTTTTCATATATGTACTGCGGGTCCCGATATCCGTCACTAAATAAGATTCACAAGGTTTTAAATAATGTACATTAATATACTTAAATATATATATATAACATCCCAACGGTTTTTACCCTCCATTCCCGCCCATCCGCACGAGGGGCGCAGTCCGCATGACGTACGGAACCAGTATTTTGAAATTTTGCGCCGAGTCACGATAGGCAGGAGTTTGTTAAGTGTCGAGATCTAAAACTGTTCCGCTACAGAACTAAATTCATCAGCCGATTTTATGTCTTCTCATTTATTGAGAGAGGACAGTATCGATTTCTTAATGCTGAAAAGCGGATCTGATATATCAAACGTGCTGGAATGAGAGTTAAAATCCTGGCATAAGCAACGGAGTGGGTCGTGCAATTCAAAATTAGTTTTACAAGCTTTCAGAAATAGGGGGCAAAAGTGTCTTGATACCCGGGAGGGAACATTAAGGCTAACTTCGCCAAGAAGAAGCGGACTTGAAATTGAGCCTATTAGTAATTTATATCGAATATTTTCTACTTTTGTCATATTGAAAGATCTGTCATTTTCTGGTTATTCTATTTTGCTTTGCCATTCGTGTTTGTCTCAACTTGTCCGCATTCATAAGACACGTCGGCGATTTGCGATAGCGATCTGAAAATTGTCGCTAACTGTAGCTCGTTTCTGTAACTTTTCTCTACACATTATTTC